GGTATATATCCTAACGGAGCATGAGTTATATTAGTTATTCAAATTGTTTATTCAAATGAAAAATTTTTGGCCAATGTTATACCAACCGTAAAAAAATANCTACACTTTTTCAAAGTATGTTTTAGTATTATTTTTCTCCATGCGTTTAACTTTTTTTATTCATTCATTCATTCATTCATCTATTCATTCATTAACTGAATTTTTATTGGATCTGATAGACACACGACAAAGCAGTCAACAACAAACAACATCATTGAGATAAAAACCAAAACAACTACAACAACCACAACAACCACAACTACTACTACAACAGCGACAACCACAACAACAACAGCATTAACAACAACAGCAACAACAACAGCTGTTTTAGTTTCGAAAGAATAAATTTAGCGCCAAATAAATATTTTTATTTCTACAGCAGACAGGTAAGCTTGCAAGCGTAGAATATCACCTGGATAACACTAATTAGCAATTAAGAAAAGCCGCATACACACACACACACACACACACACACACACACATGTACACTCACACACACGTACACACACGTACACATTCACACCTGTACACCAGTGCACGCGATGAATAATGTTATTTATTTGCACATCGCTCTTTAAGGTGAGTTGGATGGTGATGTTTATAATGATGATGACGAAGAAGAAAAAGATGATAATGATGTTTATGACGGTGATGATGATGATGATGCTGATGAGGATAGCGATGCTGATGATGTTTGTGTTCTTTACCTTATAATCTATCTTAACATACACACAAAAAATTAGTCTTTTCATTGGTTTAAATTTCAGATTCAGCTTGCATTTGAACGACCTAACGACGCCATTCAAACGATTTACACTTATCGTACCCCAACACTCACCAACAAACATCATGACGAAAAATAACTAGATCGCTACACGTTGTTTGAACCTTCGCAGAATCTGTGCAGGCATTCACACTCCTATTAAGTGACATACATCCTTGTAATAATAAAATCGGTTCTATAAATAACCAACTCCCGAAAAAGAATCGATATGGAATCGGTATTAAGTACATTCCACTCGGCTGTAAAAGTATTTAAGATTCACGTGCTATACAATACGGACCGCTAGACCGTATATGTAAAAGTGCGTCAAAAAAATTGAAGAGTGAATATTTTTAGAAAGATTGAGAATGAAAATGTGGAAAAAAAAGAAGCACAGACCTTTGAGAGGCAATGGATCTAAGGGTGTTCCATTTCTGCTTGAGGGCCTCCAACATTTCATTGAGAACTTCTCGTTCGGGGTCTTCTGCCGGGCACTGGTCTCTCAAACTCGTGCCCAGTCGCATGGTCGAGTAGTAGTTCGGGTGTTTGGCAGACATTTGAGTTTGAAATTTCTGAGTGCATGAGGTTTCAGTTTCGTTTTTAAATTTACGGTGAAGATTAGTGAGGAAAAAACATTTAAAAAATTGTTTTCCGGAAGGTTCTCACGTGCAATTCATCGCCATCTTTGGCCTCCTTGGAGACCTCCTTGCCAGCCTCCTTCAGGTTCTTCCTCCCCCCACAGTCAGCCACGTACTTCTTCAGAACGATCTCACCCTCGTCCAGCCATTCAGTCAGCGATTTCCAGCAATCATTAAACTGGAAGGCAGTTTGATGGGAAATTTTCAATTATATATAATGCAATGTATGTGTTTCGCTCTGTTTCTTGTCACTATGTAATGTGGCTTCTCCTTACAATCAAAGAATGCATGTCTATAATGGTGTTGTGGGAATAACTGAACAAGCCAGCCAGCTATCGAGTTATAAAAGTTTATTTGCTAGTGAAGTAATTCGAAGACATGAACGCTCTGATGTGATAGATCATATCACATTCATTGAAATCAACTAATCAAACTCAACCAATCAAATCACAGATCTCATTCAAACCGGCCAACCAATGGGCAGAATTCCTCCGAAAGAACCAATCAAATCGCAACGAACCCTCTTATCTTCTCTGAACGCTTGCTGCAACAGGCGACCAGCTTCATCAACTTTCCTGACCAACTTCTTCCATCTGACCTTGACCCCGACGAGAAGGTTCTTGACATAGACCGTGTCCCTCTTACTGCCGAAGTACTTTAAGTAGGTCCCAGTGTTCTCCACATTCTGAGCGATCTTGCACTGGAAGTCTACGTCTTTTTTCAGTTCCTTGAGTGAGTGAATGAAGGAGTGAAGGAGTGAGTGAGTGAATGCATAAGTGAGTGAGTGAATGAATGAATAAACGAGTGAATAAACGAATGAGTAATAAATAAATAAATAAATGAATTGATGGGCGAATGAAGGAGTGGATGAATAAAAAAAACTACCTGATGAATTTGAAGTTGGTTTTGAATCTTCTCCATCGTCTTA